TATAGGCTGTTATAAGGTTTCTGAAACTTTATGGTTTGGTGGAGAAACACTAAGGACAATTCTATTTTTTGGCATAAAATTTTTAAATGAATAGTTTGCCTGTCTTCTTAACTAGAACAAAAATGCTATGAGACTAACACTATGTCTTACTGACTGTTTTGGGGGAAAAAAGTGAGAGATTCAAAATATTTTTGAATTTTAAAATAATAATGCATGTAATTAAATGAGTTCTCTTAACCAGAGACTAAATGTGTCATTTATAACATAACTGCATAGTCTGGTATCATGTACTTAGCATTAGGGGGGAGAGGGATACTTTTCAGAAGCAGGTTAACAAGAAAAAATAGTGTAAGGGCAAGTGGAAAAAGAAATAATTATTAAATATTATGCTTTCCATGTGTCTAATTTGCATTATTTTACTTATGTAGCACAACTATTTTATATATAGAACACTTATTCTAATTTTGCAGACAAGAAAACAGAGGTTTAAAGGACTCGCGTAACTTGTCCAATGTTAAGCAAATGGTAAGTTATACAATAGATATTCAAACCCGTATCTGTGTGGTCCCAAACCCTAATGTTATAGGAGCTGCTAAGTCTTACCAAAGTCTAAGTCTTTTTGGTAAGGAGAAGAAGCCACCATCAATGACACAGCTTTTAAAAAGCTTAGGTGTTATAAAAAGTTACTGTCAGGACTTTTTGTTCATTGGGAAAGTTTGCACTGACAAAACTCAAGCCCTAAAATTCCACTTTCTGTGACCTGGACTGAAAGGTATCTAGTCTTGTGCTTTTAGGATTGTCGACCAGTAAATGATTCAATTAAAAAATAAATGATTAAGATATCCTGTTGAGATACAGCCTCAATTCAAAAGAAATCACCAAAGTCAGTGTAGTAATATAAAAAAAAAACTTTTTTTTTTGTTTGCACAACTAGCACAAGTGGCATGTCCTACATCTTTTGCTAAATATGTGCACCTTGAAGTAAGGCCTGTTCTATAAATCTGGATAGTTCCGGTAATATGTATCGGTGGGAATCCTTCCAGGAAACACCAGAAACAAACAAGTGAATTGTTTAATGGATTGGGAGATTTAGCATGAGCAAAGGGTCTGAACAGATATTTCTCCAAAAAAGGAAAATGAATACTCAATCATGACATAAAGGATATTCAATATTATTAGCCTCAGTGAGATAACACTGCATATCTATTTAGATGACTATAAGAAAAAAAAGACAGATAATAACTGTTGGCAAGGACATGGAAAATTAGGATTCTCATATATTGCCAGTGGGAATGTAAAATGGTGCAGTCACTTTGGAAAACGGTCTGGTAGTTTCTCAAAAGGTTAAACATAGAGTTGTCACATAACCCAGTAATTATGGTCATAGATATGTGCTCAAGAAATAAAAATATAGGTCCATGCAAAACTTTGTATACAGATTTTCATGCGTTATTCATAATAGTCAAAAAGTGTACATGATTGAACTGTTCATCAATTAATAAGTAAATAAAATGTGATATAGCTATAAAATGTTATTCAGCAATAAACAGAAATAAAATACTGATACATGCTACAACTTAGGTGAACCTTAAAAGCCTTATGTTAAGTGAAAGAAGCCAGTTCCAAAACAACCACACATTTTATGATTTCATTTATATGAAATGTCACAGTAGTCAAATATATGTAGATAGAAAGTAGAGGAGTGGTTGCTTAGGGCTGGGGTTGGGATGGAAAGACAACTGTTAAACACTACAAAGTTTCTATTTTGGGTGATGGAAATATTCTAAAATTGACTGTGATGATGGTTGCACAACTCTGAATGTACTAAAAAAATCTTTGAATTTTTAATTTTTTTATTTTTCCTGATTCTCACATTCCAATCTACAGCTAGTCAAATTCTGTCAGCCCCCAAAGGAGCTAAGGCTGTGCAGTCCATAGCGGTCAGCATTCTGGTCCACAGGGGAGGTGGAGGAGAGGTAGAGCAGATCTGGAGAAACAGGCAGAGCCCATGAGGCACAGCTGCCCTTCTGCAGAGCACACTGCTTTTGGCCTTTCCCTCTTTTCCTCCCTAGCTGCCTGGAGGAAACCTGCTCCCCTCTCAAGACTCAATCAAGAATCACCACTTTGAAGGCTTTCAAACCACTCTGTCAGGGAAAATGGATACTTTTCTTTTAATGCATCTACTGATTTGTAGGTCTGTGTTACCATGTAGCATGGGACTGTGACAGATAGTCCTAGATTCCCGTGTTAGCTATGCCACTTACTAAATGTGTGAATGGCCAAGTCAATCTTTCAAAGTATAAATTTCTTCATCTGTACAACGAGGATAATAGCCTCACTTCAAGATGCCATTGTGGTGATTCATTAAGATGATCCTTATAAAAACTCAATACCTGCCTTGCATATAATAACCCACTCACTGGTAGTTGTTTTGTGGGTGATGAGCCAGTGTTAGTTGTTTGAGGGTGATGAGCCAGTGTTAGGGCTGTGTAGCCCTTGGTGATGTCACTGTGTCACTACTCTTTATATTCCTACTATTTAATATTACCTAGGCATGTCCTAGGCATTGATTAAATATTTAAAGAAATTAATACATAAATAAATAATATTACTCTTTGTATTGACCATTAAAATATTTCATCTCCTAATGACCCTGAAGTGATTCTGATCTAAAACTTGAAGTACTACTGTTGTTCCACTGCCCCATGCCCATTCATCCTATCCTGACACATTTTTTACATTGCATGACTCCACACCCTTCTCTCTATCTTCATTTCTTGCCAGGGCCATCGCTAAATCTTCTAAGTAGCCTTCCAGCTTGTTTCTTCACTCCTCTCCAATTCATTTTCCATGCTAAACTAAATAATCTTTCAAAGCTAGTCTGATAGAATCACTTTTCTCTTGCTTCAACTCTTCGATACTTCTCCATCGACATCCAGGTAAACTGAACCTCCTTAGCCTTGCATTCATTGTCTTCCAGTATATGGTCCTGCCTGCTTTTAAAAATAATTTGCACAACTCTTTTGTGCTCCAATCCCATGAAATTCCCTGACAGTTCACCCTCACTATGAACGTTGTCTTAGTTTTTTTGCATGTGTTCTTGTCTTCTCCTTGGAGTTCTCTTTTATCTAACTCCCTCCCACCACATCCTGGGTGCCTTTTTCCACTATCCCTGCTAACTCCTGTACTTGCTTCAACATTGAACTCCTTTTGTATCCTTCAGGAGCTTTTATTTTTAAAAAGCACTTTACAGGCTAATTTGTATGTCTTACTTTGTGCTTTCTGCTTTAGTTATACTGGCCTAGTTTCTGTTAACAAAAATTATAGATACTTTTCCACCTTAGGGGCTTCACCTTATCTCACTGATCTCTTTGGAAATATTGTTCAACTTTCTTGTCTTTTTCAAGTTTTTACTCAACTCTCCACAACAAAGCTTTACCAGACACCTCATTTAATATGCAATCTGATTTCTACCCACTGTGTCCCATATCCCTGCTCCTTGTAACATTTATTGTTTTTTTTTTTTTCCTATGGGGAAGGGATTTTTGTTTGATTTAGTTACCAATTATATTAATCCATTCTCACACTACTGTGAAGAACTACCTGAGTCTGGGTAATTTATGAAGAAAAGAGGTTTAATTGACTCACAGTTCCTCAGGCTATACAGGAAGCATGGCTGGGAGGCCTTGGGAAACTTAGAATCATGGCAGAAGAGCAAAGGGGAAGCAAGCACATCTTCACATGGCGGCAGGAGAAAGAAAGCAAAGGGGAAGTGCCACACACTTTCAAACAACCAGATTTCATGAAATCTCTATCGTGTGAACAGCAAGGGGGAGCTCTGCCCCCATGATTCAGTCACCTCCCACCAGGCCCCTCCTTCAACACACAGGGATTACAATTTAATATGAGATTTGGGTGGGGACACAGAGCCAAACCATATCACTGATATATCTCAAGTGTCTAGAATACTGCATGGCAAATAGCAGAAATTCTAAAATTATTTTTTGAGTGAATGAAGCTTACAAAATAGTAATATAATTTAAGCCTTGCATAACTTTATTTTAAAATTGTGTTTGCGTGTCTATTTCTCTTGTAAAAACATGCTTTTGGTTTTTGAGAACCAGGACTGTGCCTTATTTCCCTAGGCATCTCTAATATGTAACTTAGTAATTGGCACATAGTAGCCGTACCAGATCTATGCCTGTGTACTAAATTTGCCCCAAAACTTAGTACCCCAGAACAATCACCCCTTTTTATTAGTCATGAGTTCTTGGGTCAACTGGGTGGTTTTTCTGTTTTCTCCTGGGTACACTCTTTTGCCTCTAGTCAGCTGTAGGTTGAGTAGCACTTTGTTGATCTTGGCTACACTTACATTACATCTCTGGGACCAGGGTGGGGACAGCTGGGTCACCGGCATCACCCTCATTGTCTCTCATCTTTTAGTGGGCTAGAGGGAGCTTGTCATAGAGTGGAAGTACACAGGCATCTTGAAGCCTAAGCTCAACACTAGTGCAATTTTCCCGTTGCCATCACATTCAACTGTTCAGGCAATTGGCAGGATCATCCCAGTTTCAAATGTAGGAAAAATAATCTTCATTTCCTCATGTGAGTTGCTATAAAGCCACATGGCATAGAGCCCTGGTACAGAGAAGGGAAAAATGGCAGCACTTTTCCAAATGATTTATCACATTAGGCAAACAAAAACTGTTTGTCATATGAAATAATAATAATCATAGCTGATGTTCTTGCAGCCTTACTTTGGTCTAAGTCCTATGTTAAGTGTTTTATAAGCATTAGTTTATTGCAATCTCTAAAAATCTCTCTGAGTAGGTATTATTATTACTATTATCTCCATATTTCAAGTGGGAAAACCAGGCTTAGAGAGGTTAAGAATTAGAGACATACTAAATATATATGGCAACTAATGAACAGCATAGTTTTCTCCTGGGGTTATAAGAGAAGTCAGATAAGTCTTATAGACAACAGCAAGAATAATCCCAAAAGTTCAATGGTGGCAGTCATATCAATCATAGCATTTTCTGGACAAACCTCAGCCCTAAAGGTGGTGGAGAACCCAAAGGGGAGTTGCTGGAAGCCATCAAACGTGACTTTGGTTCCTTTGACAAGTTTAAGGAGAGGCTGACGGCTGCGTCTGTTGGTGTCCAAGGCTCAGGTTGGGGTTGGCTTGGTTTCAATAAGGAACGGGGACACTTACAAATTGCTGCTTGTCCGAATCAGGATCCACTGCAAGGAACAACAGGCCTTATTCCACTGCTGGGGATTGATGTGTGGGAGCATGCTTATTACCTTCAGTATAAAAATGTCAGACCTGATTACCTAAAAGCTATTTGGAATATAATCAACTGGGAGAATGTAACTGAAAGATACATGGCTTGCAAAAAGTAAACCATTATTATACTGAGAAAAAAAAAATCAGTTTAAAACTGTTAGACCTTGGAACTAGGTAGAGCAATGTTTTCCAAATGCATCTAATCATAAAGTTGCCTGAGGGACACAAGTTAAAAATACAGAAGCCTAGGCTATATGCCACACCAACCAAAATAGAAGCTGTAGGGAAACTTTCAGTAATCTGTAGTTTTAACTAGCGCTTACGTGACTCTTAGTGATGGGCAAATTTTAGGACCACTGAGCTAGAGCACTTTAATCCTAAATGACACCAGACTCTCAGGAGGAAAGAAGAATATTTCAACCCTGATTCCCCTACTGTATACAAAGAACAAATACATGAGTTCCTGGTGATTCAGCCACCACTCTTCCCAGGTCAGAATCAGCCGTTGTATTTATGTACATGTGCGTGTGTGCACACACACACACACACACACACACACAAATATATCTATCTGCACACATACAAATATATTCCCACCCTCCACCCTGCAACAATGTGAGACTGTTTCTGATGTTTGACTCCAGCACAGCACAGGACACTTAGGAACAGTGATATGAGCCAATGTTCACATTACCATAATCAGGCTGCCAGGGTAAAGTCAGAGCTACTGAACCATGTAATGCATTAATTGGGTGGAAAATAAGAAAGTCTGCCAGGGTTCAGATTTAACACAAATTAAAGATATGGAAATTCTGGCTGAAATCTTTCTTTAGTCTCCACAAAAAGAGGTCTGCTCTTTGTGGACTTTAAGAGCCTTGCTTAATGATGAAACGAGCATATACTGCTGGCAAAGGCTGAAGGAAGCTGGTGTACATCATGACCTCCTTTGCTAGACTGTTCAGCACCAGTCTGTGCCAATCCTTTTGAGTATTTGTGTTTAGCAACTACTGATTTCTCCGATTTTTATTTTTCTCTGTATGAGGCAGAATGCCTGAGCCAATTAAACCCACACAGCGAGTGGTTCCCAACAGGATGTCTGTGGGTGCTCTGTGGATGGGTGCCTTTGACTTTCTAGGCTTGCCACTCTTTGTCATAGAATGATACTTACCTTTTGTATGGCAACAGATCCTATAGTTTAAAGCAGAGAGTGACAGTGACATGAAGGAGAAGGGGAAAATTGAATTAATTTTTCTGAGGATGAGAAAGGTTAAGCAAAAATCTCTTTCAGTTCTCTGCTCTAGATGATTGCTTAATTCTATTTGATATGTTTGCTTTTTATAATCATATTCTAGTTAAAAACATCACCTTTTTATTGCATTAATCACAATTCTTATTTTTATTATTTTTGTCATTTTCTTTGTGTTGGGGGGTTCACTGAATTATTCATTTTCTAAAATACAAATTAGCACAATTTATTTTAAAGGTATTTCTTTTCTGGTATCAATATTTAAGACTATAAATCTCTCTCAAAGGACCACTGGAGACCATATTGGCCATATCCCTTAGGTTTTTTTTGTAAGGTTTTCTTATCCTTTATCGTTCTATAATTCTAGAAATTATTTATTTATCTTTTTCCTTCATTATACCATTAGTTCTTCAACAGGGCTTTGTTTCAAATTTGCAAATATACAGAAAATATTTTAAATCTTAAAAAGAAATTACTTCAGACAGTTGTATTGTCATTAGATATCAAGGTTATATAGTATCTATGGTACTTTTGAAATGTCTTGTCTTATTTCCTTTATGATAAAATATCATAATTTATCTTTCATATATGCTTGAGAAAAATATACATTCTTTGATTATTGGCTGTAAAATTCTACATATATGCACTAGTTTAAATTTGTTAATTGTGTTCAGATTAGCATTTTTTTTTTATTATTTTGTGTGCTTGACCTATCAATTGTGGTATGTTGAAATCCATGATGGTGGATTTATTTTCTCCCTGCAAGGTGGCTCTTGCCTGTAACCTTAAGACTTTTGGAGGCCAATGTGGGCACATCGCTTGAAGTCGGGAGATCGAGACCAGCCTGGCCAACATAGCTAAACCCCATCTCTACTAAAAATTCAAAAATTAGCCAGGAGTGGTGGTGCTTACCTGTAATCCCAGACACTCGGGAGGCTGAGGCAGGAGAATCACTTGAATCTGGGAGGTGGAGGTTTCAGTGAGCTGAGATTGTGTCACTGCACTATAGCCTGGGTGACAGAGTGAGACACTGTCTCTGAAAAATAAATAAATAAATAAACATAAATAAATGAAGTGCATTTTAAAATTAGGTACATAGGTGTTTAAAATTGTTATATCTTACTTTGTTGAAACATTTTTCATGAGATAATGATACTTCATCTTTAATAAGTACTATAACTGCTTGATGGGTTCTTCCTGCCTGATGTATAGAAAGAATAAAAAAATTCACTGAGACCATGGCATTGCAGTAATGAAAGAATTTAATAGACACAAGCCCAGACACAAAAATGATGTAGTTATCACTCAAATTAGTCTCCCCAAAGAGCCAGAGATTAGGGTTTTTGAAGAACAGTTTTGTGGGCAAGAGATGAGGGATTGGGTACTGCCCACTGATTGGGGATGTCATCATAAGTGTGTGAAAAATGGTACTCATGTGCTAAATCTATCTGTGGGTAGGGGACCAGAGGGGTGGTTAAATCATGAGTCATAGTTCCACGTGCAGTTCCCAGAAGACAAACATCTGCAAAATCCTCTCCAACAACCAATCTTAGCTTCCACATTAGTGATAGCAGCTATAGAACCATCTGAGGAAGTTACGAATTGTATGACCTCTGGGAAAATGGCTTGTTATCATTTAACTATGCTTACATTTTAGCAGCATTGATGCCTCTCTCATAATTCTAATCTTGTGGCTTTTAGTTTGTTTTACAAAGGTTTAGTTTTGGGAAGGGCAACCATCATCCTTGCTTTAAGGTTAAACTATAAACTAAATTCATCCTAAGATTAGCTTGTCCTATGGTCAGGAAGGATCAAGCTTAGAGGTTACAAGCAAGATGTAGTCAACTATGTCAGAGGTGGTTTCTGTACTTTAAAATGTTCACACCCATTTTATCAGATATTAAATTAGTCCTATAATCTTTCTTTTGGCATTTGTCTATGTCTTTTTATTTACCTTAAATCTCATACTTTGTATGTGCTGATGCTTTGTCTTTATTATTTCATTTCTTTATCCATTAACTTATAGTTGTTTTAAATGGTAAAAATTTTAGCCAATTCTCACATATTTTGGTTCATATGCACCACCTTCCACTCTTCTTCATCTAATCTTTCATTTCTTGGTTATTATAATTTTATTGCCTCTTTTTCTCTGATTAGAAAAAAATTTTAAGTGACATAATTTTAACAAGTTTTGATTCTTGTTTTTCATATATATCTTAGAATATTACCTGGATTTTTAAAAACCTATGTACTTTTTCTAAAACTGTTTTCAGAATAGGTTTTAGTCTGGCAAATGTCTGTGGCATTGGAAGTCTGAGAATATTTCATCACCTCCCTGTATTTGAATGACAATTGTCATTTTCATGTGTATAGTTAGGGCTTTTTGAGTGAAGAAAACAGATACCTAGGTTAAAGGGGAAATCTTGAGAGCTAAATGATGACTGAATATATTGTGAAAGAACTCTGGGTAGATTTACCTGCTTGAAGGTAAATGTTCAGGTTTGAAAGAGAGTTAAAACCCAGAACCATGGAGAAATTTTCAGGATTATAAGTTGAAATGATGTCTTCTTCCTAGAGATACTTTCTTACAGTCAAAAGATTAAGAACCCAGGAGATTTCATTTCTCTTCTCAAGAAGTTGTTTACATTGTGGATATTAGATTTTTCTCCCTCTCTTAGAAGAGAAGGTGTCAGTTGATTAGCTAATCCAAACAAATTTCCAAATTTAGAATTTGTGTTCATCTCCTGAAGTATAAATCTTCATATCTACAGTGTGATATCTGGTTCTCATCACATAACTTGTGGAGTATGGGGCACAGGGAAATAAGTACCATTATTGCTTTAAATAATAACTTTGATCACTACTCCAGGGAACTCATGTTTAAATTCAGGATTAAAATAAAGACTATTGATAGTAAATACCAAGAGTTTGTCTATTTATAACATTCTGGTCTCTACTCTCTATCAATACTTGTATTTTATTATCTTCTCATTTCCATTTTATATTAAAAGTGCCATCAATCCAATTCTTGTTCTTTTATATGCAATGTTTCATGTGTTTCTGTAAGCTTTTAAAATTTTCCCTTTGTTTCAATATTCAAACATACCATTTTAGTGTGGATATGTTATAGCAGGTAGCTAGTCAGACATGAGCAGAGTAGGAGAGGGATTCCCCCATCCCCCTCCACACCCCACACCAAGAATATCAGGCAACCATCAGGTGATGGTCAGGCAGTTGTTAACTGTCTCTCTAATATAATAACTGGTCACAACTAGTGCCAGGGAAAAACAGTCTCCCAATAAACAGAAACACCTGAAACTGGTGATCACCAGCTTTCCAATAAGATCTCAGAAGTTGGGAGTTGGGCAAGTGTCCTCAAGCATGTGCATTAAGAGAGAAAAAATGGTAGAGTTTAACTGGCATACGACCTAGGGACATTTGACTGTTAAGGAAAGAATGCCTCATGTGAGAATGGATACAACTCCAATAAACACACTGTGCATACTCCTTTCTCAAGTGCCAGCAGACTACTGTACATACAGACAGCCCACCCCAGTGAAAGAATACAGAGATAAGGAATACAAGACCCCAAAGCATGCTGATATGGTTTAGATTTATGCCACTGTTCAAATCTCATCTTGAATTATAATCCCAGCATGTCTGGGGAGGGGCCTGGTGGGGGGTGATTGAACCATGGTGGGGCAGACTTCCGTCTTGCTGTTCTTATGATAGTGAGTGAGTTCTCAAGAGACATGATGGTTTAAATGTGTTTGGCTTTCTTTGTCCTCCCTCTCTTCTGCTGCCATGTAAGACATGCCTTTCTTTCCTTTTGTCTTCCTCCATGATTATGAGTTTCCTGTCTCTTCAGTCATGCAGAGATGTAAGT